GCATACGTGTGCAGTTAAAGATGAGTAACAAGGTGAATTTCCATGTGCCCACCACCACATCATAAATAATCAAAATGAACAATACCCGTACTGTTTGAAGCGCCCTTTCGATGCCCCTCCCCAGACATCCCCAGCTCGTAACGAGCACTGTCAGTTCTGTATTTCTGTCCCCACACTTGCGCCTGCCCCCCTCACCCTTCACACACAGTTCTTCCATCCTGCTGCTCCTGTCCGTCAACCTCTACTCTCTTATTCCTTCGTTTTCTACCCCTTCACGGTTCCTCCCCTTCCTCATCCCTTCTCCTTCCCTGGCGCTCTCTTTCCCTCTCTGAGTGTCTCTCTGCTCAAGGGAATTGCGCTGATGTCTTTCTGGTGGTCAGTTGGGTAGGCCAAGGCCAATGGTTCTCAATCGGGGGGTGATTTTGACCCCCAGGGGTATTTGTCTAGAGACAGTTTGGGTTGTTTATAACTGGGAGGTGCTCCTGGCATCTCCTGGGTAGGAGCCAGAGATGCTGCTAAACATCCTACAGTGTCGAGGACGCCCCCACAGCCAAGAATGACTGGACACGATGTCAGTAATGCCGAGGCTGAGAACCCCACTCTTAGTCTGTCACTGTGGCAGGAAGGAAGTCAGGTGAAGAGGGTGAAGGAACCCCCCGACCGTGGGACCTGCCTCCTAAACAAAGAAGACAGTGCCAGAAGCCGGGGGTCCCCTCTCGAGGTCAGCGCCTTCAACTGGTGGTACTCATTCCAGTGACCATCCAACCCAGGCTGACAGGAAGAGCCCGCTTGTCTGACGCTCACATCTCCGCTTTTCCAGGGGAGAAGCTTGGTCAAGACAGGCTGTTGGGCAAAAATATATAAATCCCTGTCAGTTACTCTCATAAGAGAAGAACGTGAGCCACACATATGATTTTGCATTATAAAAACTGCCCTTTAAACTCAAAAATAGCTCACTGAACTTACCTTGGTATTATTCTTAGAACATTTTATTGGCTTATAATGTATAGAAACGTATATATTTTATAAGTGTAATGTTTGGCTGGGAAGTATTTTTTAAAAGTAAGATACTATTATTTGTAGAGTAGTTTTAGGTATACAGAAAAACTGAGTGTAGAGAGGTCCTGTATACCACCTTCCCTCACCCCCAAAATTTCCCGTCATCTTACCTTAGCGTGATGCCTCTATCTGTTATAATGATGAACCCATA